TAACGAAATTTTTTTTAGTATTCTACAAATATTGAGTAAGAATACGGAATATCCATAATATTTTTACATTCTTATCCGACCTGCATGTATATTTATTTATTTTTAAAAAAAATATGTGTTATAAAATGATGTCATTTTATTTGTCATAAAACAACATAAATTAGGAACATAATGCTTGTAATTATGTTTTATTTATGGTATTTTAGACTATTAGAGAACATATTAATTAGATTTATTGTGTTTACTTTAATTTTGTTAGTTTACATATCTTTATATTATATTTTAACAGTCTAGTTGTAAAAAGTAGCCCAAAATTTTAGTAATTAAGTTGTTAAAATGGCTTAAAAATTAATAATTTAAAATTTGAAAATTTGTGAGGTATTTTGCATTCCTACCTGACCTTTCAACCCAATTTTTTGGACGGAATTCGGCTCGGAGTATAACCCTTAATCAGGTAGCGTCAGCCAACAAAATTATTTTCTGCAACTTTTCGGCTCGAAAACATGGAATCCAAAAATTTCTACCCGTCAACTCGGGTCAACAGTCCTATCAGTAATGGTGTGGAATCAAGCAACCATATTCTAGGAAAAAAAATGCGTGTATCTTACAACTTAAGTTCATTTGGTATTTATAAGAATGTCTTATTGACCAAGTCGGGCTTAGAATTTTGGTAAGAGTAAGGCGACACATCCCGAACATAGCCAAACTAAAAGACAGTCAAGTCTAGTTCATGAATTCGGCTCAATTCAAGGTCCAAAGAGTCCAAAAAGAATTAGAGCACGTGGAGAGAAATTATCGAGATACTCACTCTCGAAGATCAAGACAACATTTTATGACACATTCCTTTTGTAGCCACTCGTAAAATTAGTACATTTGCCCTTACATTACCGCCTTAAGCTGTAGAAATCTATATATCTTTCTCATATTGTTCTCTTATTTATTACGTTTTTTTCATTATACCTTTAACTATTACTTTTTCTATTCTTAAATATCTGTCGTTTTACATAAATTTTTTTGTTGCATAATATCTGCCGTTTAATGAAATCAAAACTTAATTAATATTTTTTCTTCCAAATTTACCCTTAACTTTTCAATGCATTAGATTAAGTAGAAGTTAAATATCTTTCATATTCCTTTCCTTCCCAATACGTATTGAATAAGAGTATTTTAGTTTTGTGTAATTATTTTTTACTCATATTAGAGTTATTTAATAGCTTCCTTAATTCCTGTATAAAAACTTTAAACGATAGATATTTAAAAACGGAATGAGTAATATAAATTTCAGTTATGGGTCTTATGTTATCTTCTCAACAATCATGTTTTCTGATATTACATTGCGAATTTTTTTTTGGGGCGGGCTTGGGTAGTGTAGGCCCGAGCCCATACTAGGGCGAGTGGCGGGCCGGGTCGACTTCGGGTAGGGATAAACTACCTGCAGCCCAGCCAGTCACCTATTGGGCAGGCTTTCTAGGCGGGCTTTTGTTGGGCCTATTGGGCAGGTTTTGTTGGGCGGGCCGGTGTTTGGGCCCTATTGAAAAAATATACAATTTTATTTAATTTTTTTGTAAATTATATTTTTGAATTAAAAGTATAGTCAAAGTCAAAATTGACAAAAATTAAATAGTGAATAATTTTATTTATGAATAGAAGATAAATTGCATCACTATAGAATAAGTACATATCAACTAAGTTGACACCTACCCACCTATCTATCATTTGCACAATTCTACCCATTTAAAGACTTTTGTAATTAAGGGTCAATTAACATACAAAAATCAGTAAGTATAAGAAGTGGTGAAAAATATTTATTAAATTTAGATTGCATATTATATAAAATAATAGAAAATTCAGGTTCATTACTATATTGTTCAAAAAAATTACCGATACTAATTATATGAATATAGACAAGTGTAATAGTTAGATAATAATTAACAAATAAAGTCATAGTTGACACATAAAAAACTTTCAAAAAATCTTCATTTTATCAGTGACATCTCATTCCTTTTCGGTGGGACGCGATAATAAACCAGTGGTATTTATACTAACATAGTCATTTAAGACAACTTTATATTTAACTGCCACATCTAGCATTTTATAGGTGGAGTTCCACATATGTTGTACATCATATGATATTTTTTTATATTTTAAATTATTCTTTTTACACATAGTTCCAAATGTTCTAAATCTATTTTAAGAACTTATTATATGATTAAATAATATGTTTAATTTTATCAATTACAAATCTAATATTATAGAGATCACTCTGTACTATGAGATTTATGATATGACACATACATCTCATATGAAAAAAAGTACATTCACATTGTAAAGTTAAATAACATTTTAAATAACTTACAATCCCACTATTATTTGTTGCATTATTTAAAGTAATAATAAAAATCTTATCTTGAATACGATAAATTTGTAACTGATTATAAATAACTTCAAAAATAATTTGTGCACTATGATTATCTTCGATCCTTGTAAAAGTAATAATTCTTTTTTGCATAACTCAATTATCATCAATAAAATGAGCAGTTATACATAAATATCTTAATTGTTGGCAAGAAGTTCAAATATCAGAAGTCAAATAAATTTTTCTTTTAAGCTATGAAGCATGAATACGGATACGAAATACGGATATGATACAAAATGGGTACGGAGATACGACAAAACTAAAAAAATCAGGATACGGGTACGATTAGAATACGTCCATAAATATATATTTTTTAAAATTTTATTATTATATTTAATGTAATAATTATGATTTATAAAGTGAATCACACATCTACCAAAAATATATAATAACAATTAACCATTCTATCATTTATAAATCATACATTTTATATCACATACATATTACATAATATCAAGTCCATGCTTAAACAAAAGAAACCCAAAATTTTCGCCGATCAGGAGAGAGAGACGATTGTTTGTCGTCGGCCGAAGGGGGTGGTGGACTGTCGGGCTGTGGAAGAAAGGCCGAAGGGGGTGGGGGCTGACGGGCGTGGAAGAAAAGAAAATATGAGTTGAAAAGCATCACGATGTGTTTGGGTTTAGGACCTTTAGGTTAATATACTTTTTTTTGCAAATAAGGGCTAAAAAGTTTTGCTCTTGTGTCCTTATACTTTTTTAAAATTTGAGTAATACCCTATTATATCCTTATGCGTATCTCACTCGTATCTAAAACGTATTCGGCCGTATCCAAAAGTAAAATTTATTTTTTTAATTTTAGGATACTTCTCAGACATATTTGGTACGTATCTGACGCGTATCCGTATTCAAAAGTATCCGATATAAATACTTTGACCCTTTTGAAGCATCCGTGCTTCGTAGCTTTTAAAATTATCAAAATAAGTAATTAAATTATTTTTTTCTTGTACATAATATTTAATAACATCTCTCTAACATGTTTGAAAATTTTTGAATGGAGACTCTCATTCAAAGTTTTGAAAAATTTGAACTTAACTCTTACCAACCAAAATTAAAATCTCATTTACCACCAACCATTCATTCAAGTTTCCAACTCTTTTTTTTTTTTGGACAAAAGTCTCCACCTTTTATTATAAACATATATGTTTGATCAAAAAAAAAAAATACATGTATGGACGGGTATGAGCTTCAGGTATGTGGACGGGTTATTGGGTCGGGTATTAGATTACTCGTAAATCCATTATGAGCTTCAAGTAATGGATTTCGGGTCGGATTTTAGATTCGGGCTCGATCGGACTAATTATCGGACCTATTTTTTGGATCGGATAACAGAATCTGTGAATAATTTGGCCCATAGACACCCCTAGGCCTAGGGTTTCCTATAATTAATTGGGAAGTAAAACAGTATTCCCACCAGTCATAGCTTTGAATTAGGCTGTCACGCGGTTGGTTGGTTTACTAATTTCTTGGTCATGACTTAGCTGTCTGTCCACACTCCACATGGTTTTGGTGGGGCATTGGTCAGATTATTCTGCTCTGCGTCTTTTTGTATTCATAGGCAGATAGGCTTGTGGCTGCCACTATTCCCTGCGTACGTTACGCAAACAAGTCCCTTATCTTTTGCTTTATTACGTTTGTGGCCCTATATTTGAGCTTATTTATAATCCTGTCTCAATTTTGTTTTGGGAGTATCTCTATTCAGTAAATGTAACTTTGCATAATCACGTATCAATAGAGAATAATAATAAGCTCCCACCTACTTCCTCAAAAGTTAAGCCTTTTTGGAGGTAATACAAATTTATGTAATTAAGCCCTGGTAATTATATCTAGGGGTTCGACAAGTTTGAAAATTTTTATCCTAACCCTCCATCTCTCGTTTGATTCCTCACTAAGTACTAAGATTACTTTGTGAAATATTTTTTAACCGGTAATTATCCGCGCTTAAAATCATTATATTACTCGTAAAAAATTACAAATATTTGTTTATAAATAAAGACAATGTATAATTCAATTTCAACAATACAAGTTTATATTATTTAACCTGTATACAGAACATATATAATCAAATCTTTATATAATGATAGTCACGCTATAACTACAACAATATATTAATTAAAATATATGAGAATATGTAATTATTATTGATCAAACATCCACAATTTTAATATTTTTAATAAATTTTATCTCAAATTTAAAAAAAATATAATTATTTATTTTTTTGTAAATTTTTACTTAAAGTTCATAACATTTATAATTTCTCTGTTATTAAATTAACAATAAACCCCATTATTAGTTCAGATTCATGGTTAAATGACTAAGTTAAATACAAATAACATTTTCTTTATATTTTTGGATGCATTTTCTTCATTTAAAAGATAGGTAAAAGCATATGAACCCTAAATTTATATTCGGATATAGGGAGAGAGAAAGAGCGGCGGCGGTGGGGGCCGGGGTGGCGGGGTGGAATCACACTGGACTTTATAAAAATAAATTTCCATTAGAAACTTTCTCAAAACCAATACATCTAAAACTCAAAAGAGCCGTAAAATCTCAAGTTTCTTTTGTCATCAGGCAATAGAATAAAGAATGAAATCAGTAGTATCGACGGCCATGACCTTTTTGGACCCAAAACCACCAACCCTACCGGAGACGTCACCGGCGGCTTTGCCACCAAAGAAGCCGCCATGTGGGCCGTCCTGCTGCTGGTGGTTGTCATCGTGGTTAGCCGGAGGGTGGTAGTACAACCGTGCCGTTTGAGGACAGTGAGAATGAAATCTTGCTGCAATTCTCACCCCAACATCCAAAATTTCCAGATACTTCCCCATCTCTCTCTCTCTCTAAATGCAGCTTTTCTTTTTCTTGGAGGAGAGAGAAAAGAAAAGAAGGGAGAGGAAAAGAGAAAGTGAGAGAAAACTGAAAATTTTAGAAGACGTCAAAGTTGTAAGAGCCCATGAAAGGGGGAACTTTGCTTGTGAGGAACAATGAGGCATTTGTATGCTATTTATATTGCTATGGGTCTGCCTTGGCGTGCTCTTTCCGAGACCACTCCTTTTCACATTAGACATATTTATTCATTCTAGTAGTGAAAAGATTAAAAAACTATTTGCAACTGCTACCCAACTAGTTTCGAAAAATAATATATAACCCCCACCAACTTCTACTAGAAGGTCAGAACATCAATCCATGTCAAAGGAAGAGTTCATATCTTATGGGCCCCTCTCTTCGAGCGATGTGTTATATTGTAGTCTTCTTTGTCTCCATTCATTTGAGAAATTTCCGATGTGTGTGTATATATATATATATCTATCTAATAAAACACATAACAATTTAAATTTTTATTCCTTTAGTATTTTTCCCCATAAAAAATTATATTACTCATTTTTATCACATGTTCAATTATTTAATATTTAATTAATTTATAATTTAACATAATTTTTATTTCAAATATTATCCATATACAATAATATACATATGTTAAAAAAATTTAATATAGTGAGATCAATTTTTTGGGCTTTTAAATTTTATATTTTATCGTACATTCAGACACATGTTATGACTAGTATATATAATAATTCAGTTAGTAAGTTGAATTTTTATCACCTATAAATTCTCTCCAAAAAAGTCACATCACCAATTATATCACATGCTCAATCATTTAATTTGTAATTTAACAAGACTTTTATTTCATATATTATCTATAACGATAGTGTACACACGTTAAAATTTTTTTGTCCAATTATGCATTTTGATAAAATTTTGATGCTATTTTTAAGAAAATAATAGTTAGAAATTAATTTTAAATGATAAAAGCAAAGAAATTAATTTTAAATTTAGTATAGTGGGATCAATTTTTTGAATTCTAGAATCTTATGTTTCACCGTGTTTTCAGGTACGGGTTATGACTAGTATATATATATATATATAGGGTTAATCTCAACTTGCACTTCAAAAGATTACTCGACTCTCAATTTATACCCTCAAAGTTTAAAAATATTAATTTGCACACTGAAAGATATAAATTCGTTTAAATGTGCACCTGAAGCTAATTTTCATCCATTTTGTCGTTAAAATGTTTGAGTTAATTATAAATTATTCCCTCAAAGTTTAAATATTTTACATTTACGATCTAAAAAGAATTACATATATTAATGCTGGTTAAATAGCTCTCAATTGTGTCATGTCGTGTATAACGTTAAATAAAAAATAGCTATTTAATGAACATTGTAGGCAAACAATAAGTATTTTTTTTAAGTAATATTATATGAATTGTCGTAAATATGAAATATACGACACAATGCAATTGACTCGAAAAGAAAATATTTTTTGTGTCAAAAATAATTTTTTATTATCTGGAACACGACACAAAAATAATTCGATATGACACAAATAGCATGACACAAAAATAATACGATATAACAAATTAAGAGGTACTTAATGAGTATTAATTGATGAAATTATTTTTGGATTATAAATTTAAAATATTTAAATTTGAAGATGTAATTTACAATTAGCCCACATTTTTTAACAACAAAATAGACGACAGTTAACCCCCGGTGCACATTGGTATAAATTTATATCTTTCAGGGTATAAATTAATATTTTTAAACTATGAGGATACAAATTAAAATTTAAATTATCTTTTGGGGTATAATTTGGGATTAACCCAAAAAAATATATATGATTCACTCTATCAATGAGTTTGGGAAATTAATGCACTAAAAACAAAGAAAAATAGGAAAACAAATAAAAAAGAGATCTAATTGCTATTTTTCTTCCTTTTGATGTTATATGCAAGGGGATAACTTTGGGGGATAAAAAGCCAACTATTAGGGCATGTTTGGATGGTTTTGGTGTAGCAGGTTTGGATTGGTTTTACTAAATTCTCTCAAACTCAACGCCCTGGGTGGGGGTGGGGGTGGGGGTGGCGGCATGGAATTCACACACCAATTATTTTCAATCTCTTGTTTGGTAAGTATAATACACATGTGTGGGACCCATGAACTAATCATAATTATAACAAAAAAAATCCTCATATACTTGACTAAAATGCACAAAAACCAATTCAATCCATACTCATATTAGTTGAAGGACACATTTTTTGGTCAATTTATAAATTTTATATTTGACAGGTATAATGTTTTATTAGAAGTAAAAAAGTTATTTGGCGTAACTATCCTAAGTTGGCATATATAAAACTCACCCTCCGTGAGTTTACCGAAATTCATGTATGTGGGTTTAATGCTTCGGGCCGACTAATGGCTGGGTGTGTAATTCGGGTTTAACAAGTTTAACAAAACATGGATTTTATTAGGATATTAGACCTTTCTCTTAATACCCATCAAACAAACAGCCCCTCAGAGATTTCAACGTAGGTTAGGTGGGATGTTCCTGGGAGTGGAGAGAGATGATTATGGGAAGGTTTTCTATTAAATTACAGAATTACCCTTGACCCCCTAAGTCTCTTGCTCTGAATAAATCAATAGTGGAAAAATATATACATAGCAACAGAGTGTCGTATGATGTGTTAACACTTTTGTAGACCAAAGTTCGTCATTGACACACCAATTCAACATGTAAAAATTATTGAGTTAATTTTGCGAGTTTTTGAAAAATTGTTCTTCTAGTTTTTCTCCTTTCTTATCTCAAACACATGAACTAAGAATATACGTTGGCAAATTTCTGAAAAATGCATAATGAATGTTTTTATTTTTCCGGATTGAACCTAAGACAAAATAGGGAAGCCAAAAAATTTTAAAATATGCGTGTTTTGTTAGTTTGATTCTCTTTGTTTCAATTTTATTAATTTGCTCCTTAAAGTATTCAGTTCGTATTTAAATAATTTTTACACAGACAGCCTTTTAACTTTATGAAGGAAGTGGTCACGTGTTAATGGTCTAAAAGAATGACACGAGATCACATCCATTAACATAATTAAAGGTCTATTTGATTAGGGATCATTTAAACACGAATTAAATATTTTAATACTTTAGAGACCAAATTAATAAAATTTATACATTGATCACTCAACTGACAAAATATATATATTTTAGGGACTAAAATTATTATTAACCCAACTTTTAATATGGAAGGCATGCTTGGCTCATGAATTTTAGTTGTAGTTGGTTTTTCAGTCAAAAGAGAAGGGATTTCCGTTAAAGGTGAAGAAGACATGTAATTTGTTGTCTTCTTTGGACTTTACTAGATGAAATTTAATGGGAAATTACTAGGCATTAATTTCTTACTTTTTATCATCAAATTAGAATTGTATAATTAGAAAAACATTGTAATAGTTTGTTAAATGTGGTTATGCCATGTTAATTGAAAATATGATTTAGAGGTTCAAAAATCTATGGCTCGTTAATCAAACTACTCATTCGTAATTTCTATTATTATTCTTAGACACCAACTCATGTAGATAAAGGGAACCATTACTCATCTTCAAGTTACGAAATCACTTTACCTTCACATTGTTGGTCTCAATAAAAGTGTAGCAAGTTTCATTGAAATTTGGTGGAAAGGTTTAACCAATCCGGCCTACGTGAATTGCTGAACTAGTTAAAAGAAAGAAATTGTATTTTCACTAGAGCTTAGATCAATACCACATCAATGTTTTCATAACCGGCTAAGATTTTGCTTCCTCCATTCTACAAGATGTAGATTGTCTATATATATTCGACAACAAAAATACCTACTACATAATTCATGTTGATTCATGTTTTACTATGAAAAAACAAATTTTATCATGGGTCCTTCTATAAATAGACCAAACAATAAGGGCTTCCTTGAAATAGTGCTTTTTCGTTGTAAGTGTTGACTAGGGAATACGGAATACCGCGTCTAAGTTTGAACTTTGCGTGTAATATTGCTTGCGTTTGTTGGAATCATTTTCATTCATTTGGTGTAATATCCTACCGATTATACCCCCACTAAGATTTCTGCTAAATTACATAATTACCCTTGACACCCTAAGTTTCTTGCAAAATTACATAATTACCCTTGACCTTTGTTGATTTTACTTTCTTGCATTCTTTTGACTTAATTCTTGTAAGAGTGCCGTTTGAGATCCCAAATCAATAGAGATTATTAGATCATTGAGTCTTATTAAAAAAAATTGAAGAAACTCACTTATTCAATAGTTCCACTTTAGAGTAATGTTAGCTATTTAATTTGTATATCAAAAAATTCATTTCAATTGAGTTGATATATTCACACATCTCACATATTATGAAAAAGTTGATTTCTTGGTGTTTGTGAAGGTGCCAACTTATTTGAGATAAGTTTTTTGGAATACAAGTTAAGTAGCATAGCATTGCTCATACAAAGTAAAAAAGAATGATCTAGTGGTTAGCGTCTTTTCCGTCTTACTTCCTGGTGCAAGATTCGAGTTTCACTAAATCTCCTCTTTTGTTTAAAAAAAAATAGTACTACTCGTAGATCTAAAACAGAAACAGTTGTAAAATCTCAAATATCTTTGTCATATGTACACATATAACAATAGTTGAAATTCATTCAATAATTCAAAGCCATTATTTACTATGAATAATGCTAGACGGACTAAACCCAGAGCTAAAAAATAAGAACAAAATGATGAGATACGGTTGTAATAAAAAAATAAATTAAATTTTACATTTGTAAAAATGGGACCAATAACACAATTATGGGAATACCACATTATTTGATCCTTGTTTTTGTCTTCCTTTTTTTTTTTTTGGTCTTTTTTAGTAAGTAGTTCCTTTTTTTGTCAATACCAGCATTAGTTATTTTACTATATCAACCCTAAATTTGTATTCCTCAAGAGAGAGAGAGAGAGAGAGAGAGAGAGAGAGCATTCACACTT